AAAAAAGAAAACAAAAAAGAAAAAAGGAAAATGTTTATCCGTTGCAGTCTTAAAGGGATTGAAAGTTGATCTATAGTCTTCGTCGTAGTAAGAAAAACGATTCGAATATCAATAAGATTCGTGCAAAGATCGAAGCGAACATAGGTATTCCTTCGAGTTTCTCTTCTTCTTCTTCTTCTTCTTCTTACACTTCGGCTTCGTTTAGAATTAATTAAGATTCAACGTTGGTAGATCAAGCTCGTTGATCCATTGACATTTTTTCCATGGAAACGATTCGTGGAGTAGAGGAGTCGAATGAAAGAAAAGAAATGAAAAGAAATGAAAAAGGAAAGAAGAAAAGAAAAAAAAAAAAAAAAAAAAAAAAAACTATTTCCTTCTTTAAAGGGTAAAGAGAAAAACGATTGAATTAACGACAATGAAAACAATTGTATGTTAAAATGTTCAAATCGAAATCGATGCACGTTCAGAGATGAAAAAAAAAAGAAAAAAAAAAAAAATAGAAAAAAAAAAAAAAAAGAAACGATAGAGAAAAAGAAATATATCCTTTAACAAATACACAAAGGTGTTATATTTGTATAATTCATTAGCGTATGAGTGATAGTCTTTGAGATCTTTTTTTTTTTTTTCTTTTCCTTTATTTTTTCTTTTAATTTAAGAAGGAAAATCATCGTAAACCTACCGTTTTGATTTATTTCAATGTCATTCGCGATACTTGGGGAAAATGAGGAACGTAAATAAATTTGTTGGCTGTTAAAAATAACGATCAGTTTTCTTTTTTCTGAACACGACGAATATCATTTAAGGTAAATCTTTCCTAACCCAAGTACGACGATAAAAAAAAAAAAAAAAAAAAAAAAAAAAAAGAAAAAAGAAAGAAAGATAGAAAAAGAAAAAAAAAATAATAAATAAAAAAATAAGAATTTGATATACCAAGTTTCTCAAACACAGGCGCAACCTTTAAATCTTAAAACGTGTGCGCTTAAATCAAAAGATCGTTTGGAGGATGATGATCGAGATAAGGAATGATAAGCTTACGTAACGATACGTCGTGCTTAGACGAACACAATGAGACGACGATACGCTCTTTGCTTCTCGACTTCAAGGATTTAAGGAGAGGGAGAGGGAGGGAGAGAGAGAGAGAGAGAGAGAGAAATAACGATTTCATATTACTTTTTTTTTTCCTTTTTGTTCCCTCCTCCTTCTTTCTCTTCTTATTATTATTTTCATCTCTGTCTCTTCTTCGTTGGATTCGTTAAAGTCTTCCTGTTTGCATTGATCTATTATGGTCGCTTTGTCACGTTTCATCATATAATGATTTACTATGAAAAAGATTTATCCGATTAAAAATGACGATCGATCTTACGTTATTTTTTCTTTTTTCGTTTTCCGGTTTTTTTCTTTTCTTTTTCTTTCTACCATCTTGTCTCTTATATCGCGAACATAAGGTTTTTTTTTCTTTTTTCGATCGATGAAAACGGGAAAGAATAAATTGAATTTATCGATCCGAACGACACGTCGGATGTCATTTTAATCGTACGAGAGTTTATTGTCGAGATGATGTCAAAAAGAAAGGACGAAGTCGATCGTGCCGGTGTATTTCCTTGTCGTCTGAGAAAAGCTTTTCTATACATATATATATATATATATATAAAAAAAAAAAAAAGAAAAGGAAAAGATCGAAGCTATCGATCGTCTCGTGAGAGCCTTAAAACAAGCAACGAAAAGGAGAAGAATAAGAAGAAGAAGCAAAAGGAGGAGGAGGAGGAGGAGGAGGAGGAGAAAAAGAAGGAAGTGGGATAAAAGTGCTTCGAAGATTTTCTGTAATCCCTCACCGTGCGAAGAAAACGTTCTCTTTCTGCGATAAGAAAAGAAAAGAATCCTTTTCTTTGTGTTTAGCTGTGATGCCATGAAAAAGCTCGCCATTTCTTTCATTTCTTTTAGATCTCAATTTACGGTACCATAATGAACGTTACTTCCAACAGCACTTTTCGTCGATCGTAAGAACTTTAAAAATAAGATCGAAAAAAAGAAGAAGAAAAAAAAAAAAAAAAAAAAAAAAAAAAAAAAAAAAAAAAAAAAAAAAAAAAAAAAAAAGAACGCGCAATCGTACCTCATAAATTTTACCATCACGTTTGTATCCTTCTTATTCATTTTTTCTTCGTATCTCGTATATCGATCATTGATCTTCCTTTTAATTATTCCACGATTTATTCGTATCATTACATTAAGTCGATCCTGCTGATACGAATTCTTTCGTAGAATTTTTATACGTATTTTTTTTTTTCTTTTTTTTTTTTCTTTTTTTTTTTTTACGATTTCCGACTCGTCTCCAACATAAATATATACATACATACATATATATATACATACATATTAGAATCATCACGAAGGAAGATATACAATACGATGACGTCATTTTCTTCAACCTTACGCTCTTTTAATAGATCTTATCTGATCTTTCGTCTCATACGTAATAATGATAAACACAACAGAGACGTGCCTATTGAATGACCGACCGACGCGTGAAATTCTCTTCTTATAAATAAAAACCTTTCTCGTGGTAATATAATCGATTGACGCAAACGAAATGACAAATATAAGTTTTTAATGTGAAAAGAGTTGAAATAATTTTCTCTCTCTCTCTCTCTCTCTCTCTCTCTCTCTCTCTCTCTCTCTCTCTCTTTTCTTTTTTTTTTCTCTTTATGGCCACTTATTCATACTTCAATAACATTCTGTTACAGACTTGGTAAGAAAGGAATTAACACTTTGTTTTCTTTCTTTCTTTTCTTTTATTTTTTATTTTCTTTTTTTTGCTTTTTCTTTTTTCTTGACAATTCACGAAATGAACAACGTCAGAGACGTTAATCCAATAGTAATTTTCGTAACCGTCAGTACACGAAAAAGCACGATGATGATAATGGACGTTGATATATGCCAACGTTGCGTGATACTTTATTGATTAGAAGTATACCTAAGAATGGCACGAAAATTTTTTTTTCTCTTTTATCGCATCTCTCACTTTTTTTTTTTTTTTTTTTTACAAATAATATATATATATATATACGCGAGTAGTTATTAAAATTTATCGTATATATTGTCCGGGAAAACTTAATACCTACCATTAAAGGACATCTTTGTAATTAGTTTTATTATAGAATTAAAAACAATATGAATAAAAAAGTTCATTTGTAATACGTTGTAATACGTGTAAATTGCACGTGTATTTTATATATCGTTTGAAAAGAAAAGAAAAGGGGGAAAAAAAAGAGGAAAAAAAAAAATAAAACAAAAACATCGAACATTTATTAGCTTCGGTTTAAAGAGCAAGGATCGTTAGCTTCTGATACGGTACAATTGATAATTAAACAATTAACTTTGACCCTTTACAAATCTTCTACGTGACTAATTTTTTTCGTTGAAGCTTTTAAATCGATATCTTCGAGAGCGCGTAATAATTTCAAAGCAAACAAAAAGAAAAAAAAAAAAAATAAAGAAAAAAGAAAAAAAGAAGTAATTTTATCGATGATTACGTAAAGCGAAATACTGAGCGTTACTGATTTAGGTTTTACGTTTTTCAAACGTGCCCGGAGCATGAATTTGCAGCGAGATAAGCACGTTGCAACAATAAAATCTACTATTACTCTCTTTCGGTTCGATATGATTTAACAAAGAAAAAAAAAAAAGAAAAAAAAAAAGAAGAAAAAAAAAGGGAAATAAAAGCAGGAAATTATGCAACAGAATACGAAAAATCAAATAAAAAAGAAAAGAGATATGAAAAGGGAATCAACAAAAAAAAGAAAAAAAGAAATAATAATAATAATAAATAAAGAAATAAAAGAGAAAAAAAAGGAGAAAAAAAAGTAAAAAGTCATTATACGTATTTGATATATTAAATGTTATCGACAATACGTCTATATACGTACTTAGTTACACTTTGTCGTACTTACAAGCTTTTATTTTTTTTATTTCTTTTATTTCTCTTTTTTTTTTTTTCTTTCTTTTTCTTTACTTATTTCCCTTTTGCAATGTCTATCGGAATTAAAGCGAGACCAATAATCGAGGATAATATTCGACATTTGATCTGTTATGCGAACATGCAAATCGTATAAAATGTTGAAAAGATAAAACGTTTTGTTTTTACTGTGTAACAATTCCTCTCCTTCAAGCTGAAATAATTTTATCGATGATACAGCGAAATGGATAAACAACAAGTGATAAACAAAACTATGGATAAACAAAAATATTTTCACCATCCCGCTCTATCCTTTTATTTTATCTCTTCTTCCATTCTTTTTTCTTCTCTTTTTTTTTTTTTTTTTTTTAGAACTTTCCAAAGCGTAAAGAAAAAATTTGTTTAACATGTTATCCTTCAATCGACAATCTGTCATTTCATTTTAATTTAAAGAATGAACATAAATTCATTCTTATACGTCGTACATGTATATATATATATATATATATATATATATATATATATATATATATATGCCGACGAAATATTATAAGGAAGTAAAAACTAAATCGAGACATTCGTTATGATTTATTATTAGCGAGGGAAACCGTAACGAAACTAATGGTAACCAATCAACCCAGGATAGACGGAAATTATTGAAACGGACGAGGAGCCTTGCGGTAATATCGGAGGACGAAACACGTCAGGCACGTGAAACACGACATTTTCAATTAGGAGAATCGACCTATGATCTACCCAGAAGGCATCAGTTGATACCAAGGCCTAAATTGATCGATAGGAATTCTCTTAAGAATAGGTGAGTCAATTTATCGTTGACTTTCGATCAAACGAATATAACCTTCGACAGACAGCACAAATACTTTTCTTTTTCCTTTCCTTTTCCTTTTTTTTCCTCTCTCTCTCTCTCTCTTATATTCACAAGTAATAATAACTTCATCGTAAGAGTCCAAAGTATTCGATTGAAAGGATGATAAAGTTTTCTTTCTCTTTCTTTTTTACAAGCGGAAAATATTTAATATGTTTATAA